AATTGCAATGACTTTCATTACATGCACACATACATACCTATATTTGTCATATACATGCACCCCACATACATAAAAATTCAAATTGAAATATGGCTCTGAAAAATTAACACAGCACGATCTAGTACAAGCTAAGCTGGGGGGGTCTACTCAAAACTGAAAAATATGGCAAAAGGTCTACGAGACAAAAACATTTGGGAACCTCTGCCGTAGGCTCTGGACTAGATAGCGCTGTGTGAATTGTCTATGGTTTTTATTATTAGTATAGATATCTTTTATCGGGTCCGTATTTTCCAATTTTAATGTCCGTATTATTTATTTATCTATTCATTTAATTATGTTATCTCTTAGCCTCTATTGAGGATTAAAGTTTAACAAATCCACCAATTAAACACGTCTGTAGGTATTTTGCGTCTTTCAGTGCAACATATATCATTTTACTTGCGGTCAATATCATAATTATGTGTCTCTTTATTCAGTTAAATTTAAATTAAAAAATAATTTATTCATGTAGGACCTATCAGCCGCTTATGAACATCAAATTTTATATATTATAATTTTTTCCCCACCGTCCAGTTCGGTATATACCACAGATCCAATTGAGAAGAACTGGCAGGAAACTAAATTGAATATTTTCAACTAGTTTATGCCATGCACTATTTGTTCATGCACGGGATTATCGTTAGTTGTTTAAGAATATATTTCCATGTTCCATCCATCTGCACTCGCCCCCTATCGTCCGGTGAAGCTGTAAAGAACAGCTGTGGCCAACAGCATTAGAGTAGTCCGAAAAAAACTACATTAGGTCATTATGTACTACTACTTACAATACTACTACCGATTATGCGTAGTCATTCCGGAATCACATTTCCCCATTCAAAATGTATAGTTACAACTATATGTTGTAACATTACACGCTACGCTGAGATTGTAGTGTGGGGTTTTTTATGAAGGGGTATATTAGGCTTCTTAAGGGCCAGCAATGCGCACATGACGACCCTGGTGTTTCAGGCTGCAGTAACCGTTTACCATCAGATGGGCCGTAAGCTTGTTTGACAACAATGTAGCATAAAAAAAAGACATTGGATGTATATGATAATCATTGCCGCATGCATCCTCATGTAAAGTGCGAATACTGTAACTACCATATAGTAATTTTTGTAGCTGCGACGTGATCGAGTGGAATGAGTAGTCATGCTCACTAAAGTGTCCAGATATGTGGCGGCGTGGTAGGCCGGGTCATTGGGCTCCCTAAAATTTGGTCGAGCGCAGTGATGGCTGGCTCATCCGTCATACTCGTGAACGAGTGCTGCTTGTAGGGACTGGTCTGCTCTTATCACTACGACTGATTTAATCTTATTGCATATTTATATTTGACCCAAAATATTAGTGCTGGTTGGTAGTTTGTATTCACACGTTTCGACTTGTAAATGTAAACTTACAAGGATTATTTAAAAGAGCAACACACAAGTTTCTTGCTCGCTCTTCTTAAGATGAGACAGAACTTTACGAACGAGTATATAAATGATTTTCTTTTCTATTCTATTCTATATAATAATAATCACAGGACAATTCACACAGCGCCATCTAGACCCAAGTTCAGCTAGTTAAAGCTTGTAACATGGGTACTTAACTGATACAAATATACATTCTTTTTTGTACTCGTGAATATCGTTGTGCCGTGTGAATCGAACCCGCGACCATCGGAAGTTAGACGGTGAGCTCAACCGCTAGACCACCGATGCCGTCAATTGACGTTATATATAAAACTCGCAAAGACATGAACAGTCAAGCGGAGTCGGGGTGGGCCACTAGTCGGAAACTAAACAAGGAAAGTGTAATGTCATGAAGGTCACACATGCAAATGTGCATGTCATAAACAACAGATTAATACAACAGGATTTGCATGATTATCTAAAAGACATACACATTTATCAAACACCTGCATGTTTAGGTAATGAGTTGTTAATCCTAATAAAGAAACTATTTTCCTTTAGATATAATATACTTTTTATTTTTAATTACATAAATTTTCATAATTCAATACAAACAATTACAAAAAACAATCATTGTAATCCAACGCGGCACATCGAGGCAGCGTACCCAAGATACTGGCAGCGTTGCCTCTTTGAATGGCCATACTTAGCCTTAGAATTAGTGCTAATTAGTGGTTTGTATTCACACACTTAAACTTAAAAATGTAAAGTAATAATAAAATTATTTAAAAGAGCAACACGCAAGTTTCCTGCTCGTTCTTCTTGTGATGAGACAGCTTTCCGAACGAGCGGTTGATTAAAAAATGTAATGACTATTCAAAAGTGCTTCAATGTAAGTTTATTTGAATAAATGATTTTCTATTCTATTCTATTCTTTTTTGGGCAAAATAGCTCTCGGGTCACAAGTAACCTCAATGAGCCGCGCTGAAATGTATGTCAAAAACAATTTGACTTCCGGGCTCCATAGGCCCAACGTCTCCACGGGAAATGGTAAAAACCAATACGAACCCTCCAGATTCGTATATTTTCGTCTTTTTAAAATTGCCGCCTGTGTTGCTGCCGTGCCAGGACGAGAGGACGATCCAGACACATGACTTGGTGCCAATGTATCCACACACGTGGCATCCCATACTAAACATTTTCCGAGTTTCCACGAGACCAGTCTTCTTTAATTTTTCTTTTATAATAATAACCAGCACATACTCATTTCATTAGAATAGAATGTCAAAAAAATGCAGTAGAATGTTGTGGAAATAGAGATCTAAATATATATAACTCAAAGGTAGGGATGGCTGACGTAGTAATTTATCAACGCACAGCCCAAACCACTGGACGGATCAGGCTGAAATTTGGCATGTAGGTAGATGTTATGACGTAGGCATCCGCTAAGAAAGGATTTTGATTAATTCTACCGCCAAAGGAATAAAATAGGGGATGAAAGTGTATATGAAATTGTCAATTTTAAACCGATTGGGCTGAGACTTTGCATGCATAAAGCTGCTATGACGTAGGCATCACCTAAGGAAGGATTTTGATAAATTCCACCCCTAAGGGGATAAATTAACGCGAGCAAAGCCGCGGGCAAAAGCTAGTTCTTTACATATACATTCAAAATCAAAATCAAAGTACCATTATTCATGTAGGTCTATTACAGACTCTTTGATATGTCAAATCTACCGTCAGTTCGGAATGATTTCGAGATGAGAAGAACTGACGAGAAACTCAGCTCGTATTCTTTTCAAATAAATGTTGTACATGTTTACAATAATACAGATTCATTTTCAAATTCAAATTTGGGAGAATAGAGTGACTACCAGCATATGCTATTGCAATTTTGTTAAAAGCAAATAGTCTAATCAATGATCGGTAACCCGAAAAGACCAGTCCCCAAAAGCAGCGCCCGTTCACGAGTATGACGGATGATGATGACGGACATTTCCGTGCTAAGCTCGTCTAATCTGTAGCGTCATTATGTATAAAACTAGTTGATCCGGTAAATGTTGTTGTACGATATAAACTGTAGTACTAATATACTTATTTTCACATTTAGTACACAATTTTTTTAATGTATGATAAGGGAATGGTGCACCCGCCTGCGCTAGCGGTTTACGCTGGCGGGGCACCAGTGGAGGATGATAATATGAGCATGAGGTCAGGTCAGTTAGCCCATCGTAACAAATTCACTAGGAATTTATTATGATGGTTTCCAGGAGTTACCAGGAGTTTTTCTGCGTGGAGATCAACCTGGCATGGTAAATTGCTAGCAATGGGGTCAACAGTCCATCACCAATCACCAACAATCCCCTTCCCCCATTTAGTACACATTATTAATACCTATAAATTATAAATGATCCGTGTTTATAATATATAAAGCTGCATTTATTTAACTACTAGATGAAAACCCGGCTTCGCTCGGGTGAAATGTAGGTAGATATTTCTGTAGTCATCGATTCTCACGGAATATTAAAAGTAAGTAAGCATTTGTAAAGCTTCGTTCATTGTGTTTAATAAATATAGTAAATAAAAAGTGCAAAAGTTATTATACAATTTTTTTTGTAAAACTTTAAGTTGGGCTAAAAAGAACTTGTATCCAGAGCCGTAAACTCCATAATCCGAATTTTGCGTATATATGTTGTCGACTCGAAATCAATATTTTTTTATGTTTTGTTATTCACATAAGGTTTCGTTCGAGTCTACCGTACCCCATGACGGAATTATTAATATAGATAGTAATAAAAGTAATTTTTTTTTTATAAAAGTAGTAATATGTTAGAAAGATCTGTGAAGAGATATTTTGACTCTAAATGAGACAAAATGAGACAAAACACTCTAAATGTACGATGTAAGAAGCAGAAAATTTAAAGTACTTTAGAGCGTTTTCTGCAATTTTGCCATCAATCTCTATATTTGTTGATACGACCTGAGACCAACATTTGCTGTATAGATATATTTTGGTTTTCGTCTACTTTCTTTCATCGAGTCGTATCCAGTGTCCTAACAGTTTGTCCCCCTATTTTTAATAATATCTATAATCTGTCTCCTTAATTTAACCCTTTGCTGTACTTCTTGACTACTGTTATAACAAATTAAAAAATTCTTCATAATATTTATAATTTATCTTTTCTTTAACTCTTTGCAATACTTTTTGAGTCCTAACTGTCTGTTTGTAATATTGAAATAACCGTTTCTTACTATAATACATGCATATGAATATAAATACGCTACATACAACAAAATAACATTTTTTACAATTTTTGTCTATCGGTCTGTCTGTTTGTTCCGGCTAATCTCTGAAATGGTTGAGCCGATTTTGACGTGAATTTTATTGGCAGGTGATGTAATAAGGAGTAACTTAGGCTATTTTTATTTTAGAAAAATTATCTAATTAACTTTTTTGTTAAATTCCACGCGAAGTCGTGAGTACAGCTAGTAATATATATATATAATCTGTGTCTCTAATGCGGTACTTCTTGACTACTATCTCAAAAATTAAAAATATTTCCCCAGCGAAATGGTTCGCTGACCTTCGACGGATCGCTGAACATGAACACGGGGGCTTCAGACTTCTCCCAGCTGGGGAACATCGAGATGTGGCGGTACTCGAACAGAACCATGTACAGGGAGGAGTGCGGCCAGGTGCGGGGCTCTGCCGGCGAGCTGTGGGCGCCCGAGCTGGGGCAGCCTGAGGTGTACGTGTTTGCGCCGGATATGTGCACGTGAGTATCGGTTAACCATTCCATTATATTTACACGTAAGAACGTGCATGTAACGGTAGACAAAACCGGCCTTTACACGTACGCTCTTTCACGCGCGAATAGGGTGTCACGCAGAACAGAATGTGTATGTAAATAACTGCCTTTACACGTACGCTCTTTTCCCCGTGAATAGGCGATTATGCAGGAAAGAATGTGCATGTAAATAGCTAACTTTACACGTTCGCTGTATTACGCAGGAAATAATGTGCATGTAAGTTTATACAAAACCTGCTTTTACACCTACGCTGTTTTACGCGCGAATAGGCTATCACGCAGGAAAGAATGCGCATGTAAATAGCAAACTTTACACGTACGCACTTTCACGCGCGAATAGGCTATCATGCAGGACGAATAAACATGTAAATAATTCATTTTACACATACGCTCTGTCACGCACAAATAGGTTATCACGTAGAAAAGAATGTGCATGTAAATAGCGAACTTTACACGTACGCACTTTCACGCGCGATGTCTATCACGCAGGAAAGACTGTGCGTGTAAATGACTGCCTTTACACGTACGCTTTATCACCCGCAAATAGGCTATCACGGAGGAAAGAAAAGATTGCATAAGTGATAGCCTTTTGTATCCTATTACTCTGTGAATTTGATTTTTGTGATATATCTAGTGACATAAAGGGAAAATAAATAAATAATAATTGCATCACGAGGACAGGCGTGGGCTGTTAATAAAAAAATAGCACAAAATCTGCCATATGTTTAGATTTTGTTATATATTATGCAAATTAAATTTCCAGTTACCTGATCTTGTCAAAAGATGGTGATAATATTGTGGAAGGCGTTACCGGTGTACAGTACGCGGCCAACGATTCAGTCTTTGACAACGGACACAAGTACCCACATATGGTGAGTATATATATTATACTACGATGTTGGTAAACAACCATACGGCCCATCTGATGGTAAACGGTGACCGTAGCCTATGAAACTCGAGTTGTGTTGTGAGTTGACCTGGCTTTAAAAAAAATGAAATTCAACTTTCTTGCCAGTTTTTCTCAATTGAATCTGTATATATATACTGGACTATATCTGAACTGGACGATAGGGAAGAAAATATACTAGTAAAAAATTTTCCTTCATAAGCGGGCAAAATGTGTTGTAAATCATTACATAGTATAAAAGAAAGTCGATGTCGTTGTCTGTCCGTCCCTATGTATGCTTAAATCTTTAAAAGTACGCAAGTATATGTTTTTGATTAAAAAATACAAAAAATAAAGCTTGAATGTATTATCAAAAGAGTTTTTTGACGAAATGTCCTACATGAATAATTGATTTTTGAATTTGAAACTTTCCAATATGTACAGGCGTGCTACTGCGGCGAAGTGCGTGACGCGGACTGCGTGCCTCCGGGCGCTCTCAACGTGTCCGCGTGTCGTTTCGGAGCCCCCGCCTTCGTGTCGCTGCCGCACCTCTACCACGCCGACCCGCACTACCCCTCGAGGGTCGACGGCCTGCACCCCACGCCGTGAGTCACCCCTTTTTTTTTATGTATGATAATGGAATGCCTGATCGCATCAGAAATGAGGAGATCCGCAGAAGAACCAGAGCGACCGACATATCCCGAAGAATTGCAAAACTGACAAGGGCAAGGCACATAGCTCGTAGGACAGATGGCCGTTGGGGCAGCGAGTCCTCCAGTGACGACCGCAGACCGGAAGACACAGCGTGGGAAGGCCTCTGACAATGTGGACCGACGATCTGGTCAAGATGGCTGGAAAACGTTGGTTGAGAGCAGCGCAGGACCGATCGTCGTGGAGATGTTTGGGGGAGGCCTTTGTTCAGCAGTGGACGTTTTCCGAAATGATGAATGGAAAGATGCACCCACCTGCTCTAACAGTTTACGCTGGCTGGCCACCAGTGGAGGAGGATAAGATGAACATGAGGTCAAGTCAGTTAGCCCATCGTGACAAATTCACCAAGAATTTATCACGATGGTTTCCAGGGAAAACCGCGTGGTCAACCTGACATGGTGCATTGCTAGCAATATGATCATCAGTCCATTACTACCAAACCCCTTTCCCCCCAAGTCACGCCTGTTATTACTTCAAATTTTTAGAGACTACTGGGGCATAAGATGGCGGCCTATGAACAGTGGGTTAGCCTCAACCGTTCGCCAGCGTGCCCTGCTAATCAAATCAAATCTGATGGACTAATGTAGGACATTTTAGCTGCTTAAGAATAAAAAGTTCCTGTATTAATAATTTTCTCTATCGTCCAGTTCAAGAACTGGCTAGAAACTCAACGGAATTTCTTTTTTTTTTAATACCAACATCATAACATTTGTTCATGCACGTCTTATTTGTTACTATACTAACAGTCCAGTTCGGCTAGCTACTTCAATTGAGAACTTGTAAGAAATTCAGCTAGTATTTTTTATATGTTCATTGTTTTTATTATCACCCACTCCATCTGCTGAATCCCGATTCCTCTCGTTGAGTTCTGCCTTAAGTAGATGCTAATAGACTTTGCATGAAACTCGTCCCTGTTTGCACCTTTTTGGAAGGTGTATTTTCTCCCCTAGTTTTTACATTAACATGAATATAATCGTAAAAACATTTGAAAACGATTTCAGAGAGCATAGATTCCGGCTGACGTTGGAGATGTTCACGGGTATGCCACTCCAGGTGGCCGCGCAGCTACAGATCAACTTTCTAGTGCGACATTATGAGGGAATGAGGTATTTTTTTTATTGTATTGTCATAATTATCTATAAAAATTGTTTTATTAACGGAATAAAATGTGGATTGTGTTACAGTGTGCAAAATGTTGGTAGATGGCGCCACTGAGTTATACTGCTGATATAGCATCGCCATATTTTTTTTTTCCTCTTGTGGTATGGCATTCACTCTGATTTTAGGGTATTTCGCCACCACACTACCTTTCTAGAATGAATATCTGTGTCTGTGGTTAGTCTATGGTTAAATGAATAAAACACAAAAAGGGCATGGACCACCAGTTTATGGACAGTAACAGTGTCACTTAAATGACAGAGATCTTTGTCTGTTTGTTACTTTTTCAAGATTACATAGCTAAATGATTTTTAATTAAAATGTTGTATATATCTATCTATATTTATCTATTTATCTAATTATATATCTATAATATTATAAATATGAAGTGTTCATCTCTTTGTCTGTTTGTTCTCCTTTCTCTTTTGTATTTGTTATATACTGAGTTGTTGGTGATGTTCCCCAGCCTGAACAACCAGCTGCCAGACGACACGCTGGTGCCGATGTTCTGGTTCCGTCAGGAGGTGCAGACCACGGAGGAGTACGCTCACCAGGCGCGGCTCGCGCTGCGGCTGCGGTACTGGGTGCCTTACGCCTTCTACGCGCTCACGGTACTTTGTTTTTATTCACATAATGTTACCCCTTCGATCGATCCCTCGCCCAATACAAACGGGGATCGATATTACGACGGTCTGAGCCGAGGTTCGAACCCCTAGCGGTGTCGTCAGACTAAAATCGTATTCGTCAGGCGGGAGTTGGCCTTCAGCCTCTCCATAAGTCCATCCTTTGGTTTGGAGTGCCATCAGCACTCGCCCCCTATCTTCCGGTGAAGCTGTAAAGGCCAGCTGCGGCTATTAGAGTACTCCGAAAAAATCATCTTACGATGCTTACGCATTCCCAATGAGTGGTGGATTAAAAAAATATGACTATTCAAAAGTGCTTCTATTAAGTTTATATGTATAAAGATAATTTCTATTCTATTCTATTAAATTATATTTCCAGGCTATTGGGTTAATTCTACTAATACCGGGCGTGGTCATATTATATAAGAGGAGAATGAACTCGTCGAGCATGGAACCTATAATACACTCGGACGCAGCCGCCGCCGACACCCAGTGACGAACAACCGGACGTAAAAGTATTGTGCGGACTCGATATGTGTATAGTTATAAATTTTGTAAAAACTTTTTCTCCTGACTGTACAGTATACTCCATGCGTTTATAGAGTATAAAGTGACAATAAAAAGTAGCTTTTTATTTCATTTTTTGGAAAGTGTATGTTTTATATTACAATTTGATGGTCGCGGGTTCGATTCCTCGCACGGTACAAACATTTGTATTCATGAGTATGATTGTTTGTATCACTCTGAGTGTTTTCTATGTAGAATATGTCAGTTTTATATTATGATTTGACGGCCTCGGTGGTCTAGCGGTTTATTACATCGCTTTACTTCCGACGGTCGCGGGTTCGATTCCTCGCACGGTGCAAACATTTGTATTCATGGATATGATAGTTTTGTGTCAGTCTGGGTGTTTTCTATTACATAGTTGTATTTACAAAAAATGTATCTAAGTTTTTATATCACTTGTCTAGTACCCATAACACAAGCTCAGTTTAGCTTGGGTCTGGATGGCTTTGTGTGAATTGTCTTGAGATATGTATTATTGTTGACTTTTGTTTTTTTTTTATGTAAATTGAGTAACGCAGTCATTGTTAGACTCTGATATGTACGTATGTATCTTTATGTAATTACTTGTGAACTATTGTCATTCTAATATAGAGAAGTAGCCAGTGAGACTTCTTAAATTTGTGTTTGTGTATTATAAATCATTTAATTAAAAGTAATATATATATTTGTAAATTATAAAACCAATTTTTTTTTGCTGACCGTACACGAAATATTGTAAAGTGCCTTAGTGCCTACGTTATAAAGTAAGATGTAGTTATTCAATATGGTCTTTATGTAATTACTCGCGTACTGTTGTTATTGTAATAAACAAGCATGTCGCTAGTGAGACGATTTAATTTTAAGTTTGTTTATTTCCATACATTCTAGGTTTTATTTGGCTGATGTAATTAAAAATAATATATATTTGTAAATTATGACAAAAATTTTTCTGCTGACCGTACTTGATATATTGTAAAGTGCCTACGTTAATGCCTACTATATTTATTGAGATTGATAACAGAGCTGGCGCTAGTGAGACGTCTTAATTTTAACTTTTATTATTTGCATATATTCTAGATTTTTAATGATTTAACTAATAATAATATATACAGGGTTACTGGTAACTCGATGATGACTAGAAAAAACTACATTGTAATAGTATATTTGATTTAATTGTTATCATTAATATTTTAAATAGTGCCCTCTCTCTCCCCCCCTTTTATATATATATATATTTCTTTTTCTCTTTTTGGTGCCACTGAAAAACAGCTGTATGTTCACATTGACGACCTCGGTGGTATGCGGTTAGCACACCGCTTTACGATTGATGGTCGCGGGTTCGATTCCTCGCACGGCACAAACATTTGTATTCATGAGTATGATTGTTTGTATCGGTCTGGGTGTTTTCTATGTATAATAAGTATGTATTTACAAAAAAAAAAAATATCTATGTATATGTATCAGTTCTCTATATAACACAAGCTTAAGCTGCTTAACTTGGGTCTATATGTATGTGTGAATGATTATTATTTATTATTATTATTATTTTACAACAAAGTTGGATCTACTATATGGATGTAAAAAATGATTATTTTGTTTATTTTTAGTTATCTACATGTTAAATTAAGTTTAATTTAACTGTACATTTTATTTGATTTTGTTTTTTCGTTTCATTGTTTTTTATATTGTAACATTGTTGAAAAGCACTGAATAATTTTTTTCTTTCGTTTTTTCTATATCAGGTTTTTTGATATTTTCGGCCATACATAGGGGGTGTTAAATTTACAACATGTAAGCTCCCCCTATCCTACCCTATCACGTCCCGGCAGGAAGACGTCGAGTTATCAGTGAAACTGTATATTTGTAAATTATGAAAATTTTCTGCTAACCGTATATGATATATTGTAATGTGCCTATGTTAGAATGTAATATATAGTTATTCAAATGCCGACAACGTACTTGCAATTCCCCTGGTGTTGCGGGTGCTCATGGGCGGCGGTAATCACTTACCATCAGGTGAGCCGCATGCTCGTTTGTCCCCTGTGTTATAAAAAAAAGTTATTGAAAATCGGGATATAACGCTAGTCGTGTGTAAAAACTTATACTAACGTTTATTCCCTACTTTATATAGGTTAAGATTTTTTTGTTATCTGTACACATATCTTTAATATTATAAAAGTATATTTGTAGGTTATTTCTCGTTTTTATGATTATTATAATTGTTAATGATTTAAGAAGTAATTATAAAAAAAAAGTATAATATTTTGATATTCTCTAAGTCGGGCCATTCACAGTCTACAGCAGAGATGCTAGGGATCTCCGTAACCGTAGAAAACTATCGGATATCCGATATAAAAAAATATTCATAACCGTAACCGAGTCCGAAATAAAAGTTTCGGATAATACCGGATAGGGGCGGAGCCTAATTGAGACACGTTATGTAACCATTTTATTAGCTATTTGTAATTTACTTTTGAAATTCTTTAAAAACATTATATCCGTAACCGAAGCTATCCGAAACTAACGGACGATCCGAAATAATTTCATATCCGCATCCGTATCCGGTATAAAAATCATTCCTATATCCGAAACCTATCCGTATCCGAAATTTCATATCCATAACATCCCTGAGTCTACAGGTACAATCCCAATACTGATTTCAATACACAGTTGTTGTTTCGAAGCAATGTATAAACAATGGTATTATGAAATCGTGATACTTCCAATTAAAAGTATATTTGTCAGTCTTTTGCTGACCGTATTATATTTCTTATGTTATCTTAATCATTTCATAGTATAAAACAAAGTCGCTGTCGCTGTCTGTCTGTCCCTATGTATGATTAAATCTTTAAAACTACACAACGGATTTTGAAGCGATTTTTTTTAATAGATAGAGTGATTCAAGAGGAAGGTTTATATATATAATACATGTACACCCGTGCGAAGCCGGGGTGGATAGCTAGCAATATTATAAATGTGAAAGTAGGTATGTTTGTTACGAATTCACGTAAAAACTACTGAACAGATCATCATGAAATTTTGTACACATGTTCTTAGAAGTATTAGAATTAACATAGGATTTTTACTAAAAAAAAAACAAATATTTTTGATTCAAAGCGAGCGAAGCGAGTAAAAGCTAGTAATATAAATGCGAAAGTTTGTGAGTATGGATGGATGTTTGGTACTCTTTCACGCAAAAACTACTGAACGGATTTTAATGAAACTTTACAGTAATATAGCTTATACAGAATAACATATAGGCTATAATTTTCACTCGAGTGAAACCGCGGCACAGCTAGTATATGTAATTTAATGTTTCCACGCTTAGCTAAGTGTATCAGTACTAGTGTTGGGACCAAATATAAGTTTTGTTATATTTTATTGATGTAAAATATATTTCTAGTTATATACATGCCAACGCCATGTTGCCTAAATTATACGATATATTAATAATAAGGACTTTGGTATAAGAGAATTTAAATATATTTCCACTTTTATACAATTTGAGGTCTTCAAATCTACGTATTCAAAATATTATATGGCCATTTTATCGAACTACTCTAATGCTGTTGGCCGCAGCTGGCCTTTACAGCTTCACCGGACGATAGGGGGCGAGTGCAGATGGTACTCCAAACCCGCGGAAGGACTTATGGAGCGGCTGAAGGCCAATTCTCTCCTGACGGATATGACTTTAGTCTGAGGGCACCGCTAGGAGTTCGAACCTCGACTTGTGTCGTCGTAATATTGATACCAGTTTGAATTGGACGGGGTATCGATCGGAGGGGATTTATGACTGTATGGTGAAGATCAGTTTTATACTGTAAATACTGTAAGTTTTAAACTCCCGCCTGATGGATACGACTTTAGTTTGAGGGCGGGACGTGGGTGTAGATTTAAGTGTCCCTTTGTTTTTTAAATAATAGTATTACAAAGTATAATATATATAAATCCATTAAGTAAAACTAAATACATTACCATGTTTTTCACTCACAAACATACATATCCTCTTTTATTTATTGCTAGTCTGTGGTCTAATTGAGAATAGATTAATGTTGTTTGTCTTTAATATTACTTGTCTATAGTCTTACCTTATAGTTTAAATTGTTTATGGTCGTATTTCGACCCCTGAGCGTAACACTATTAAAATTAAACCAAAGATAATATACACCAAACGAGTCAATGATTATTTGTTATTCATTAGTTAACTACAGATTATAAAAGCTATTGTTTGTTAGCTAATTATTTATTTAAACTTAACTATTTTATCAGATGTTTACAGTCATTAAGTCTATATGGTTAATATATTAATTACAGGGTAATAAGGCATTATGCCTTAGACCTTATGAATGGCAAAGTATGAGGAGTAAAATGGCATCATGAGAGTCACTGTAGTGCTGTTGTAATGTGTATAAGCGACGTTTAGTAATTTTTATCAGTCTTCCATTCCAGTTTTCCAGTTACCTAAAAGTAAATAAACTGTTTATGTCAGTCTGTCAGTCACTCGTAAGCACGGCTAATATAGTCTAGCAGCAATCCCCTTCCCGCCCAAAATAATGATATTATATTTTGTTAATTTGACACTTTCCCGCCGTTTTTTACTTTTTTGTTTACTTTTTTATATCAGCGCGATGCTTCAGTTGCATGCCATCAGTTCGAAATTTGAAAAATAGCAAATAGTGCGGTTTTGGAATATAACTTCACTATTTTCGCTGGAGCCAAAGGAAGAAGAAAAAAAACTTCAATATTTACGTTTATTAAGCACGCGTATTTTAGGCTCTGCTTTTATAATTTAATTCAAATCAATTTCAAAATATCTTTATTCATGTAGGTCTATTATAGACTCTATGTCAAATCCACCATCAGTTCGGAATGATTTCGAGATGAGAAGAACTGACAAAAAACTCAGTTCGTATAAATGTACACATTTACAATAATACAGATTCATTTAAATTCAAATATATGACATATCATAAACACGATAAATTCATAATACATATATATTGAAAACAACGGATTTTGTTTTTTTTATATATATAGATTTGAGGAAGATTTATATATATAATACACCCGTGCGAAGCGGGGCGAGTAGCTAGTACTTGATAATCTAATGGTAATATTGTGTACGTCATGACTTAGTAGTTTATTTGAATTACAAAGAAAATGCAAACTGATGACACCAAAAATTAAAATTTGTAGTTAAATTATAATGTATATAGATAATATATGATGGAAATTCATATTACGGTGAAATATATCTTTTATCAAGTGTGTTGAAAATACAACTAGATGTATATTATTATGAAACATTATTACGCAGAATATATCTTATCAAATACAACTAGATGTTGTTAATTTTGCTCGTCAGATTGTGGAGAAGAATGTGATTTATAAATAATTTATTATTCCATACTGTAAACCATTTTTCAAACAAAATAAAGTTATTTTTTTGCTGTATTTTTTACATCATCATATGTTTCTTCCTTATCCCATTTATTTGTGGTCGTCGTAATATGTTTTTCATTTCCATTCATCTCAGTTCGCAGTCGTTATTTACTTCCTTTCTTACCATATCATCTTTCACACAGTCCATCCATCTCTTTTTCGACCTTCCTCTGCCCCTATAACCATCCACATTCATATGTAACACCTTCCTTAAAATATTATCCTCATTCCTACGCATTACATGTCCATACCATGATAGACGATTACTCTTCAACCTCTCCGACACCGGTGCCACTTTCATACTTCCTCTAATGTATTCATTCTTTATCTTATCCATTCTTGTCACACCACACATACATCTCAACATTCGCATTTCAGTTGCATGCAGTCGTCTTTCATCCGTCGCAGTTACTATTTTTTACATATTAAATTATAATATTTTTATTTATTTATTTCAGGCTACTAGGCCCGTATTATAAATACTTTATAGACTGATATACATATGAATGATTATTATAAAACTAATATATAAAAATATTGATATTGTCTGTGTGGTCACGGCACTGACGACGGCAATCTGCCACGGTAGCGCTGGTACACCACACCCTTCGGCCAGTAGTCCTCCTTCATAAAAGTGGTTTTGCTAATTGATTATTATTAATTCAACAGTTTATTCTTGTTACAAATGTTTATATTAAGTAATAATTACTTATGTATAAAATTAATTTGAAATACATATAACAGGAAAGTATTCTGTGTTCGATAGAAATTTAGTACTTTTTTACTAGTTACAATTCAATGTTCTTAATATGCCTATAGATAATATTGCTAATATTTATATAAGAGATAAGCTATTATAAACCGTATATGTATATAATTACGTTATAAAATATATTATCAGCCAACAGTCAATTGTCTGATATCATTAAGTTTTATATGATTCCAATAAAAAAATGACAATAAAACGTGACTTTTATTTTTTAATATATGTTTCTTTAAATTTTATTTAGGTTTAGCACACCGCTTTGCTTTCTAATGTTCGCGAGTTCGATTCTTAAACATTTGTACTCATGAGTATGATTGATTTATATATTTTTTAAATATATAAATCGTTAAAATATAAATAATAATATAAATATATAAATATACATATCAACAGTTTAAAAAATAAGTTTCAAGTTTCTAGCTTTAAAAATGATATTTTCGACAATCCGTTTTTTGCATTAAACCTTTCTCAGCATCTAGAATTCTAGACTATCACTGTATCAAATTTAGTTTAAATCGATTCAGTAGTTTTGAAGTCGTGAAAGTGCGACAGACAGCGTTCGTTTTTGGAGAATATTAGTAAGGATACATATACCCAAGGAGTAGGTTTCCTTTTAGCTTCTGTGATCTAGTGGTTTAGCATACCGCTTTACTATCCGATGGTCGCAGGTTCGATTCCTCGGACGGCACAAACATTTATATTCATGAGTATTTTGTTGTCTATGTATAATATGTATTTATTTACAAAAAAAACTGCATCCATGTATTTATATCAGTTGACTAGTACCCATAACACTGCTTACCGTGGGACTAGATGGCGTCTTAATTGTCAAAAACAAAATATCTCGTAACAAAACGAATATCACAAATTAAAACCGTCCCATTTTGGCAGTCACATCAAAACTGCTTAAGTATTTATATCGCAATATAACATAATAAGGATAATCTAATTGAAAGTCAGTATTGAATCGGAAGTTATATGAAGTACGTTATCAGTATATCATTTAGTATTACAACGTCAAACGTCCCGACCAGACGTGTAAGGGACGCGTCCTTATCCGCAAACGCGAGTTCATCGTTTCAATATTGACGAACTAGTTATTTGTGTTTACAAACTGTTTATCGTTTATTCAGTTCTTAGTTATTTTAGAAACAGTTATCATAGTTATTCGTTGTTTTTTTAACTATCTACGATACGAGGTGAGATATAAATATTCTCGTTTTATTATATTTATTTACTGTGCTCGCGATTTCACCCTCTTGAAATTTATAGCCTATAGGTTATTCTGATGTATAAGCTATTTTACTGTAAAGTTTCATCAAAATCCGTTCAGTAGTTTTTGCGTGAAATAGTAACAAACATGCATCCATAGTCATGAACTTTCGGGTTTATAATATTAATAAGATTTAACTTGCACAAAATCATCATCATCATCATCGCAGCCCGGAAGACGTCCACTGCTGGACATAGGCCTCCCCCAAAGATGCACAAAATAATGTGTACATATGGCGGACTTGACACCTTGCGATGCTATGTACCAGGAGAACATGAGTGGTGCAGAGAAAGATTGTTGGCGCTGCACTAATATAAATGAGACTAGAAAATATATATAAAATAATAATAATCTCAGTACAATTGACACAGCGCCATCTAGACCCAATTTAAGCGAGCTAAAGCTCATGTAATGGGTACTAGACAACTGATATAAATACATAGATTTTTTTTCGTAGATACATACATATTATACATAGAAAATACCCAGACCGATACAAATAATCATACTTATGAATACAAATGTTTGTGCTGTGCAGGAATTGAACCCGCGAGCATCGAACTTAAAACGGTGTTCTAGACCGCTAGACCACCGAGGCCGTCAAAGTAATATAAATAGTCATAAAAAGTAGTTATATAAATCTCTATAAAAATATTATATTTATACTCTAATTTCATTGTCATAGATTTTAATAATTGATTAATAATGATTATTCAATAACACATATATGATAAGTATGTAATTAATTTAAAGGGCAAGATATGACCGTGTTTTTTTTTAAATTGATGATAATGGAATGTTGCACCCGCCTGCGCTAACGGATTACGCTGGCGGGGCACCAGTGGAGGATGATAAGATGAGCATGAGGTCAGGTCAGTTAGCCCATCGTGACAAATTCACCGGGAATTTATCACGATGGTTTCCAGGGGGAACCGCGTGGAGGTCAACCTGACATGGTATATTGATAGTAATGGGTTCATGAGTCCACATTACTAACAATCCCCTTCCCTCCACTCATATTGGTATTAGCATCTTATACAGGTATAACGCGCTCGTCATCCTACTAAAGAAAGAAAGAAAGAAAGAAAAATATTTTATTCAGTGCAATGTAAAAAATACAATATAAACAACAAACAAAAAAAAAAAGAAATGTCCATATTATTAAACTTAATTTACCATGTAGATAATTAAAAATAAACATAAAGTAATCATTTTTTACATCAAAAAATGTACTGAAATGAAAGAAAGAAAGCTTTAATGTATGTCCTAGAAAGAAAGAAAGAAAGAAAGAAAGAAAAATATTTTATTCAGTGCAATGTAAAAAATACAATATAAACAACAAACAAAAAAAAAAAGAAATGTCCATATTATTAAACTTAATTTACCATGTAGATAATTAAAAATAAACATAAAGTAATCATTTTTTACATCAAAAAATGTACTGAAATGGCTCCACTGAGCTTTAATGTATGTCCTAGGTGAACATACAGCACAATATTACAGTACTACGACTGTAATATAGTGTATCTGTGGTGCATTTGTGGTTATCGCAAGCGCGGGAAAATTAAACGACTACAAAAAACCTTCTGGAGACATACTAATTTTCATTTGCTGCTAATTCTTAATCGTATTTTTCCATAACTTTATATATCTGTAATTTATTTTCTTATAATATAATAGTTTCTATGCATATTATACTTTATTTATATATATAAACGATTATAAATATTGCCCCTACCGAACAATATGTGTGTATAAAATTTCATTTCATTTTTTTCGGTAGTTGTGGCGCAAAAGTGCGACAGACAGACAGGGTTAATTTCGCATTTATTATATTAGTAAGGATAATTTTAATGCAAGACTAAGGAATACTGCTAGTAGGAGTAGTAATTTTAATGCAAGACTAAGTAGTACTACTAGTAGGAGTAGTACTTTTAATGCAAGACTAAGGAATACTGCTAGTAGGAGTAGTAATTTTAATGCAAGACTAAGGAGCACTACTAGTAGAGTAAGGAGTACTACCTGTCGACTACTTACTAATCTCTCCTACTAATTTAGCCAAAATTATAGTCGGTGTTTTAATAACGAAGATTAAATTATTACAATAAACAAAGATTGATTGCGATTACATCAATCATCCGATTTCGTTGATTAATTTGCTATAATAATAATACGACACGCCACCAATAAAAATCATTATTTAAATATTTCTAATAAAATAAAATGCACGGTCATGTTATTAATGAATTTAGTGATTTATTGATTTTAGTGTGTCTTTATTGAAAGATAATACACGAAAAAGGTCTGTTATAATCTCATAATATAGTACAATCTTAAAATATAAAGCGTAATCTGAGATTGTAGATTTTTTAAATATGTACTTTGGCATGTAAATTATCAATTTACTTTTATTTGAACCGAATTGAATGAAACAAACATTCTATCGTTCTGTTTTTACCACAAAATAGAACCACTTTTCGAAATGTACCTGTCTCGATTTCTAACCATCTTGATATTCTTGGGTTAACAATATCATTCAAACTAAATTTCGGAGGATATATTGAGATCTAGAGCTAAAACAAAAAGTAATTAATTATACGAAAAATTAAAAATATTCACGTGATCTTACCGCGTATTATTTTTATTGAGTTTCCGACATTTCCGCATATCGCCATGATCACGGAGCACGAAGAACTATTATAATATTAGGGATTATTTTACAGATAACTTATGAATGATAATTCAGACTTTATTTAAAAATCAAGAAACATACAAACTAATTTATGAATATATTGTCTCTACTGTAGAAGATGTCTAAAGAAGGAAAAAAAGAAATTAAAATACAGAAATGATAACAGAAACAACGGCTGTATGGGCTTAGACTCTTTGCCTTTCCTATAAGCATAAATAAAACAAAAAAAAACTTAGTAACTATGTATACACATAGATAAAAAATAACATAAAAATTAATTACAATCTGGTAAAGCGTCATTGTAGTGCCTCATTATAGTTTGATGTACCTATGAGGGTCCATAGTGTCTTATAGGTAATAATATTATGTCAACCTTGATTGTAACACTATGCAATGATAATGAATAAATAAACTTTAATAAAAATAAATAAAACATGGTGTGATTATCTTGTGATTTTTCCTAATTTACGTATTGAAATAACGTTTCGACTATTTGCTCTGTCGCCGGCGACCGCGTTACAGTGTAGTGTACAGTTTCTTATCACTAATATCTTACAGATAAGAAAGAAAAATTAATTTGACCTGTTTGTATGTAGACGAGATTAGAGATAGCAATCTACTTAGATAATACAGTCTTTATTGCAGTTTATATTGTCATATGCGGAGCTGTTGTGAAGTCTTTCCGAAACTAGTGGATGCTGTCAAAATTTTACAGTGAAATAGAACAAAAATTAAGAATGACTCGTAATTTAAAAAAAATTTAGCATCATTATTTCGTTATATAAATTCTCTTTAAATTTTCATTCTTCATTAAGGCGTGGAAATTCTTCACTGAGACAAGTACCCGCGAGAGTCTCACGAAAAAAATCAAAATATTGATTTTTACTATCTTTGTTACTATCTCATATTTCTACTATCCATTTTCAGTATCTTGATACTCAACTGAATTTCTTTTAGTTTTCAACAGAAGAGAGTGTAGTTATAAATCTGCCAGAAAAAAGATTTAAATGTCAAATAAAACACTTCCTTTGCAAAAAAGCTTACTATAAAATTGAAGAATTCCTTAACGATAATAATGTTTTTATAGAAAAACTTTAAATCCATAGCACTGACAATATTATCTGATTACACTAATAATGAGTGCGTAGCGATTGCTATGTTGATTATCGCATGCCTCTTACTTGTTATACTGTAATTATTATATAAAAAAAACATCTATTAAAAAGAGCAACATACAAGTTTCTTGCTCATTCTTCTTGTGATGAATCTGCATTCCGAATGAGTGGTAGAATCAAAATATGACTATTCAAAAGTGCTTGTAATGAGTTTATTTGAATAAAAATTATTTCTATTTCTATTTGCTTCGTCAATGCGATATAAATACGTTGTCGTCGGGACAAATAAGAGTATTCAACTTGATACCAACACAAATAGTAACATCTTGGTCAATTCCTCCCAGAGATACACAGGATGTGTTCATTACCTACTTACTTGGCGGCCGCAGTGACTGGAGTTTAAAAATTATCTGTCACACATATTTTAGTTGTATATGTCTGAAATTTTATTTCTTTACAGCTGTTACCCGAGACTTCTACCGCGTGGAAAACAAAAAGAACTTGTTTTTTTATTAATAAATAATATTTAGTAAGATAGATAAATGCTTTATTCAACAATTACAAACACAGCATATATGAAATACAGAAATAAATTATTATTAAATACAAATTTTTAATATAAAACATTTTTTTTCTAAAATAAATGTAGAATATCTGCGAAAATCCCTTCAAAATCTATCAATGGCCACTGCCACGTTTGAATCGAACGTGGCAACAATTTAGTTTGTTAACGATGTTTTTGTCGCAGGATAATCGGTTAGAAAAATATAACAGAACATTTAGTAATCGCCAGATTTAAATTTCACGATCTTTGAGGTCAAAGTCGGATGGTAAATCACTAGGATACGATGCTATTTATTTAACATCAAAATATAATTTAAATATGTTTTGTGTACCTATCTATTAGCTAATCTGAAAACGGCTGGACCGATTTTGACGGGACTTTTATTGGCAGGTAGCTGATGTAAGGAGTAACTTAGGCTACTTTTATTTTAGATGAAAATTAAATTCAACGCGGACGAAGTCGCGGGTGCAGCTAGTGTGTAATAAATACGAAGGTTTATATAAAAATATAATTTGGTATGTACATGTATGTTTAAAAATATTACTTTCTTTTTA